TGTAAACGCCATGTGTGTGACTGTCGATCCCCCGGGTCTTCAAACAAGAATTGGGCATTTATTCAAAGACCCAGCACTCGATGCTTGCGAATCGCAAGTTGCGATCATCAAAACCATTGTGTGGTCCAATATTATTGAATGAACTTTTTTGGTAACACTATATGATTACTTTTATTTATATTTTTGTGCCAAAACCCAAAATCTCTGTTCAATTTCATGTAATATTAGAAATTGTTATTTATTTTAGTTTTTGAGAAAACTTTTTAAACAATTAGATTAAGAAGTAAGAGAAAGTTCCACATTTTTACCATTTAGACACACCAACAATATGTCTATGTTTTAAAATTAATAATGGTTGAAATTAAAAATATTGTTCAATTAATAGGTGAATAATAATTGTTTAAATTAAATGATAAGATAAACAACAGTTTTATGATATTTTATTTTTATAAGATGTCATAAAAAGTCAATTGAGTCGACGTCTCTCATGTGTCAGTCAATAGGATTACAACTCATTTAAACAAATCATAATTTAATGCTATTATATTAAAAACACAATTTTTACGTCTTTAAACGATATACAATACAATTATTTATATTGATGTTTATGTACACGTATTTTACGTAATAATTTAAAAAAATTTAAACCGAAAAAAGTAAAAATGTTTGGAAATAATACTCTTTTATTGTTGACTTCATTAAAACTTTTATTCATTTGTGGCGAGTGTTTGACTGTCAATGCCTTTCAGTGCAAAAGCAATAAAAATATGGACTTTTTAAATATTGAGAGATTCACAGACAATATGTGCGCCCAGTGTTTGTGGTATATGGCAGGCGTGGAAAACGCTTGGATCAGATACGATGTCGTCTCCAAATGGCATATTATGTATAATTTCAGTGATTATATAAACACAATGTTGTGTCGACCGGAATGCTCTCAATTTAAATTCAGATATTTGAATAGAAATGACAAACAAAACGATCCGATTCTTAGGGAATTCAAAAATGACTTTCATATGGTATGACTTCTTCTCCTTCCCATACACTTGTAATTGACATTTATTTCTCGTTTTCTTCATCTCTTCTCTAGTCTTCACCCAAAAAAAACTTTAACAATAAGTCTTTTGTAGTATTAATACATTTAAGATTTGCGTAAAAACGATGAGTTTCTTAAATTAATTCTTTAGTTTAAAAGTCTTTGTTTTACATTAAATCTTAAGAGACGTGAGAGAAAGAGAAAGAAAAAAGATTTTATAAAATATTTCTAATGTTATGATAATTGTTTGAGTGAACAGGAAGTGAATTAAAACTTTTTTGTTGTTAATAAATTATTTTTTAAACATAATTAAATTTAACACTTTGTTCATAATATAAGATATTAGATAAATAACATAAAATTGTTTAAGAATTATAATTTTAAATCACGAAAAATTACAAACTTTTTAAATTTAAATTATACACACATTTACTATTAATCTTAAACTTTAATTTATTAATGAAATAATTTGCATATTAAAGGACTTATTTCTGAAATGTTGTGAAGACGCCAAGAGATGCTGCGAACGAATGCTAACATTAGACGAAAGGGAAGACACGGATAACGGACAGAGATGTCCGGCCAAATGGGACGGTTGGATGTGTTGGGACTCAGCGATGAGCGGCACAACCAGTAGGAGTATATGTCCGGATATGTCTCACTCGATGTTGGGATATATGCCCACCGAATGCAGTAAAGAGTTGTCGAGCAAACACTGTCGGTCTAACGGCACGTGGACTTCCATCTGGAACCCAATCGATCCAAACAATTCGCTAAGAGGTCTCTATGAGCAGGAGTTCACCGATTATATCACTTGCTCCACACCCGGAGCCACTGAACGGCTCCGGGAGACCCACACAGCTATTGCCATCTTTTTCATTTCACTCATATTCTCCATAATCGGCGCAACCGTTTTCATTGTGTATAAACTCTATACCAAACTGAGAGTACAGATTCATCTCAATTTCCTGCTGTCTCTCATCCTGACCTGTCTTTTCTCTATTCTCTTCTATTTTCTGGTCCGAGAAAAGCATTACAAACTCCAGTCAATGATTGATGAGAAGTATGCCATTTATTATTACGATTAAGACAATCGTTTTCTATAGAAGTTTGTTTGAAAGGATATTTATTTTGTTTAATGCATTTTGTAGTCCTTATTGGTGTAAAGCACTGGTAGTTTTGCACAAAGGCGCTCGTTTAGCCAACTTTTGCTGGATGTTGAATGAGGGCTATTATTTGCATCACTTAATTGTGGCCGCATTTCGGGAAGAAAGCCGTACATTATATTACTATCTGTTCGGATGGGGAGCGCCGGTGCTTATTATGGTTCCCTATGTTATCGTACACTCTATGGGCGAGTATGACAACAGTTGTTGGACAAAGTCTATGCTCTATCCGGAACTGCTATACAACGTGTTGCCATTGATTTGTATAGTAGTTAGTGCAATTAACTTAATGATCATAATCACATTAGTAAATCACATATTTTATTACCATTATTAGTTAAACGCTATTTTGTTGGCAAATGTTGTGCGAGTATTGATGACTAAATTGAGAGCATCTCCCGATCACTTCAAAGCCGGTCTCCGGGCGTCCATTGTATTGTTGCCCATATTTGGCATCCAATACACCTTCTATGTGGTGCCCATCGACCCGTTCGAGTCGTGCGGCACCGGTGTATATGTGGCCCGATATGTGCAGATCGTTATCGAAGCACTTCAGGGCGCTATCGTTACCACAATCTTCTGTTTTCTTAACGCAGAGGTTAGGCCTAAATGAGAAAATTTTCATTTCTATTCAATTAATCACTGAATGAAAGCTACGATTAAATTGATTCAAAATATTTTTAGGCGAAAAAATATAATATTAATAATATTGTAAATTTTGTTTTCAGGAGATGTAAAAATCTCGACTATATGTCAGTCCATTAATATGCTATTAAAATGCATACAATTCAGTGTCAAGGGTCAGGGCTTATGCAATATCTACAGTATATAGACTTCTTTTGCATGAATTGTATGAATAAATCTGAGGGAAAACTGTTGCGAGAGGAGAGGTGTGGGCCTCCAGTCTCTGGGCTTAAGTCATATTTAAAAGTTTTTTATGAAAGCCTTTAATTAGTTGTTTGCAAAGTCTGACAGTTTTATATAACGTTATGATAGCGTAACACATATTAAGGGATTATCTGTTTCTACACTCGAGTCACGATTTATTGAGAGGGAGTTTTCGGTGAATATAAAAATTACAAACTATTTATGAAATTATTTTAATTAATTAAAACTCAATTAAATTCTTTTCAAACAATTTTGGTTTTCTGTGAGAAATGTATTGCAAGTCTTTTCGCAAATATATTATTTTTCGTATAAAAACTTTGATTTTGGTGTCAATTATAGCCAACAGTTTTTAATTAAAAAGAGTTTAGATTTCTTAAACTATTAAAAACTTGTTATAAAGTTTCTGTATTGAAATTTATGTCTTACTCTTAAAAATAAAATAAATTTAAAATTTTAATCGATTTCAGGTTCACTTGCATATGAAGAGGACTTTTAGAAAGTGGTTCCCAAAGACTATATCAATGAATACCGACGAACAAGAATTGGAGAAAACGGCATTAAAATGAATTTATTATTAGTTTAATATTCAATTCACTTTTACGATACCTTTTTGCGAAACAAACATACTTTCGCTCAAAACACAAACTCATTATTCAATACTTATTTAACTTATTATTCGTTATGTTATAAAAAATCATCTCTATTTATGTTACAAATATTTAAATATTTATTTCTTTAAATAAATATAATTGTTATAAAAGTTTTCCAATTATTTCTAGTTATTATTACATTTTTTAACTTGTTTTGTAAAAAATGATTTATAACTTCCTTTGGTTTTAAGGGCTTATAGTATTTTTTTTTTGTAAATTTTCATTAAACATAAGCTCATAAAATGTTTTATTTAACTGTTATTTATGTAATGAAATTCATCGAACAAAAATGTTTTGTTAAAACATTAAATCTATTTTCCTTTGAATTAAGTTTTCTCCGAACAGAAAATCAGTTTTTCTACTCTTTTACAAGTCTTTTGCCTAAAAAATGTTTTCATTTAAAATTCAATCTCTTCTCTGAATTGGGTTTTATGTTTGTTGTTATTGTTAATACAATATTACACTTCAAAACCACACAATTTATTCATTAATTCAAACACAAAGTATTTTCGGAAATGAATTTTTCTCGTATGAAAATATGAATTATGCTATTAATAAAAATGCGGAAAACATTTTTTGCTGTTAATATTGAATAAGTTTCCAAAAATATGTTGTTTTGTATTTGTGTTGGCTTTGAATCTATTGATCATTTCTGTCATTAATACAGTAAGTGTTGAATTTTGAAGAGTTTTGACATTATTTCTAAACATTCAAATTCATTGATGGCTTTCTTAATCACATTTCCAATGCATTTGATTTAAATGTATGATAAAGTTGTTTAAATAAATTTTTAAAAATTGTGCCCATTTTGATGTAAATAATTTGTTATGTATTTAAGTTAATATTTCAATTAATATACTCTTGACTTCTTTATGAACATTAATTTGATTGATTTATACATTGTTTGGATAACTCATACAGAGATTTTAATTTTTACTCTTTCTTAAAACCATTTATCATTCAATTGTATTTGACTTATTAAAGGATTATTTATACGAATAAAAAACTATATACAGTATAATAACAATATCGAGATAATAATAAAAAATATTAAACAAAACTTTCATATTTTTTATTCTATTGAAGTCAAGGTTGGAATTTGAGATTTTATTCACAAACATTTAATTATTATTTTATTTTAAAACAACGGTTTCATTCACTAATAAATGGGTTTCCATAACATGTATATTTCTTAGCTTAAGTCGAGGTCTTTCTTGTTATAACTCTTATTTAATTAGTAATTTGGAGAAAAAATATAAAAATAAAATGAATTGAATATTAATATCACATATAAAATAACTCTTTACTTAAACGCAAAGTACATAATCGTTATGAATGTAAAAGTCTCGCAATTGCCTATCAATTAGCGCTTTAACGAGCAATAAATTACTGAAATTTATAGATATTTTATGTGAAACTGTTTCTCATTTTGTCAAATAAAGCAAACTCTCATTTATTCTTGTATTATAACTTACTTTTCATTTTAATGGAAATGTCTTTAAATTACAGAATTTATGATTCTTTTCATCGCCTCGTCTTTCTTATCCTCCGAAACATTCCTTCATTTTGAAGATATACTAAAAATAGTATACGTTTTGTTTGAAATCTAATTCGGACCCCAAAAAACTTTCAATAACTTATTTAGAGTTGTAATTAAATATTTTTTAGTCGTTCAAGAATTGCTTCAAATTAACATTTATTGAATTTCAAGTGCACTGAACTCCACTTATTATCATTTGGGAGATACTCTTGTGTTGAGCTATCAATCAAACGAATCCTATTTTAGAATAACAAACAGCGAAGCCTTGGATTTCATTTGTTTTTCTTTCTTTGTTTTTTCTCGACATTAGTTTTTCCGCTCTTTTGCCCCATTTTTTCTCTCAACAATCATTCGCTTATTTATTCAATTCATTAATAAAATCCATTTAAAGAAATAAAATATCTGTTTTCATACACTTTGTATACAATAATTTGTAAATAAAATCAATAGAGAACTCAATTTAATAGTATTATAAGACTATTTTATTTTCATTCACTTTAAAGTAAAATAAACTTTTAGTTCTCACGTAATTCACATAAATATACACTTGTGTTGAACCCAAACACTCAACGAAAAAATCTTTGCATTTATTTCCTGCGCTTTTCTTCTCCCATCTCTCACTTCAAAATGTATGGCAAATGTATAGCAAAAGCTCACATGGATTTAGCTTTTGTATGGCATATAACTGATCACTTTATGTCATAGTTGACCAGTCCTTACCTCAAGCGAACTTCAATTCAATAAATATAATTGTGTTATTGTCTGCTATCGAGTGCACAGGTATGCTATTGTTGTGCCTTTTTTACAGAGATGTGCAGCTTTTCCTCAATAGTCGGGGGGTTTTGGGTGACTATTCTTAAACATATTAAGGGGTTATATATTTAGACGTTTCCTTCATTTCGTCGCAAACTAAAGCAAAAAAGCATTAATTTTTTCATGTTTTTTGACTTTTCCCTCTGAAAGAGTTGCCTAAAAATTTGAGGCACTTTTAGGAATAAATGAAAGAGAAATTCAAGAACTTCACGGATCGGAGAGCAAAAAGGTTAGCCCACTGTTCTGTTCACCCCTTGACATCTCTTATCGATAAAGGTGTGACTCTTAAACACCTCTCACATCCATTGCCACCAACAATGAATTTGTTAACAATTCGTTTCAAACATCATTTGTTCAAAGAAAATGAAAGAAAAATAATAATTTCTATTAATGTTTTAAAAGAGAGAGAAAGAGAAAAGAAAAGTTACAATTATTAGAAAACTATTACGAGTTTACAAACGAAATGTTTTCTCCTCAATAATCATTGATTTGGGGAACAAATGAAAATGTAATCCCGGAGTTTGCTATACGGGTATATCCGACGTGTATTGGCATCACTTGTGGCGCTTTTTTGAAGGTTTGATATAATACAGGGTGTAGTGAATGAACGAGAACTGTGTGTTTGGCTGTGTTTGGCTGATACACACGAGTGACAGCACAAGCGTTTCCCCAAATACTGGTAGTCATACGTAAGAGAGAAGTTCCCCCAAAACGCCTAAGCGTTTGGAAACTTTGTTGCCTCACAAGCGAATAGCATAGCAAACATCCCATTCAAGCCTATGATCACATGGAGCTTACGCTCAAAGCTTTTTCCCTAATGTTCTCGCGTTTCAAACTTTCTTTTTGATAATTATTTTAGACATTTGTTTTAATAAAAAAATTTATTAAATTAGTGTAACAGTTGTGTGAGTGAGTGAGTGATGTGCAAAAGCTTGCATTGAGAGTAATGTTTGGGAACATAATTAAGTCGTTTATAACTACTTTCACCGCTTTTACTGTATTGAACGCAAACTTTTTAAACATTTCTAACACCAATCGATTGCAACAATTTCAGCGATCCTTCTATGAGAGCAACAGTCGTGCCATTAGTTCAGGTGTTAGTGAATCGCGAGTGCAGACCACCAGCACATACGCCAACCCATTGACGACGACCAGTGCTCCGGCAACCAGTGCTCAAAACTTAACTGCCATTCGGTTAGCGAACGAACATTTCCTACAGATTCGCACTCAATATCGTTGTCGCAAACCGCGTCCCAAACTCATCAAAGTTAAAGACTTTTATGACGTGCCCTCAAAGGAATATTTACCCAGGTATGTATGTATGCGCCCGAATGGCACCTTATTGTGTTAGGTATTACCGCATTATACTCTACACTATATTGTGTACACTGTATGCATGCCTTGGCATTAAAGCCAGAAGTTTGTCTCGTAATCTGTTCAACAGTTTTACATTTCTTCTTAAATCTCTCTCGTCTTATATGACTAACGCATCACTTATTCGTTGAATTTGTCTGAAAAACACATTTCTTTGCATAAAATTACTTGGATTTTGTGTCACTAAATGTAAGAGAAAGAGAGAGAGAGAGAGTTTTGCGGAATTTGCGTCCAAAATGAAATGTTCTCGTCTTTTAAATATAGAATTAAGAATTTTTGAAATATTTTTTATATATTCGTTACAAAACAGACAACAGTTAAAGGAAAGGACATAAAAATGTTATTTTAGTTTTGAGTCATAAAATTTTAGTGAATACGATATCAAAGATCCAGTGATGGGATCGGATGCGAGACACACAAAGAGCATACGGTATATGCCGTACACAACAATACACTACTCTATGATCTAAACTTGAAATTTTCAGTTATCTATCAATTTTGACACAATTCCCATCTAATCGTAATCTGACATGAATTGGCAAATAATAGTTGGCTATAAAAACTGAGTGGCAGTCAATTTGAGGCAACATATTGTGAACCACAGGTTTACTTAAATAATAGGCTCAGGAAATTGTAAACAATAGATATTAGCATTTATTAAATATATATATTTTACCCAATTTTGAGTGGGAATGTAATTCAACAAAATACAGTTTTTATATTTAAAGCCTCTTTGAGTCACTTTAAGTTAGAGTTAAACACACATAAGTAATAAATTTTGCCATTTAAATAATAATTATCACATTAAATCATTATTATTACCAAAACATGGTTTTGTAACTATTTTTAAAATATAAGTCAGAATTAATAGAAATGTATGCAAAAAGGGAGTCAAAGATGTGTTCAAGAGATGAATGCAAAGATTGTCAGACAATCAGACAATACAAGTGATGGTATCGTTTGAATCGTTGAGCGCCAGACGTGTTCGTCTCTCTCTCTCTCTCTCTCTCTCTCTCTCTTTTAAAACATTAATAGAAATTATTATTTTTCTTTCATTTTCTTTGAACAAATGATGTTTGAAACGAATTGTTAACAAATTC